GCTCAACTCAAAATTCTGAACTCTTTTAGAGTAGAAGCTTATGGTTTTCTGGAGGCATTTGGATCTGATGGTACGATCACATTCAAGTAGATGTTATATTTAGTCATTTTCAATTTGTTCACTGCCAGATCCACTGTAAGTCCAACAACTGTTCCACTCTTGCTACTTTCGTCCACGCAAGTCCAAATCCTGCTAAAAGAAGAGCTCTTTGGAAGTACCTTCACTTGCTCTCCAATCATATTAACGAGCCTTGGGTTGTCTTAGGCTATTTCAATGGCGTATTGTCTCCGAATGATTGAAAAGGTTGTGTTAACAACCCATCCTCTGATCAAGACTTCAGTAATTTTGTTTTCGATTCAAGTCTTCATGATCTTGGATATCAAGGACCCGACTTTACTTAGTATAGAGAACCTTGTACAGTTCACCTCGACCGATGTTTATGCAATGATAAATGGCTGGTCGCATATCCTGACATATTGGTTTACCATCTCCTTAGAATGAAGTCTGACCATAGACCTCTCTTACTATCAATTGGCAAGAACCCCAACAAACGACAACAAGGTCATTTTTGTTACTTTGCTGGATGGACCCTCCACAAAGATTTCCATAAACTTATGCTTGATAATTTGGACCCTTCACTCCCAATTACAAAATCTATCTCTAATTTCAGTAATGTTGCAAAAATCTGGAATCACTACACTTTTGGGTAGATTTCTCATCGCAAGCACACTGTTATGGGGTGACTTCGGGGCATCCAACGCTACCATGATAGAAAACACAGTGCTTATCTCTCGAGACTTGAGACTAAACTTCAAGCTGAACTTGAATTAATCCTTGATCAGGAAGAGCTCTTATAGAAGCAAAAATCTCACTCGGATTGGATGACATTTGGCGACATGAACACAGCTTATTTTCATAAAAAAGTTATTATAAACAAGATGACTAATAGGATTTATTCTCTTCAAATTTCCACTAGAGATTGGTACTCAGACATTAATGTTCTTCAGCAAGAAGCTAGCTTATACTACCAGAAACTGTTTTCGCTTCATGAGGAGGTGCACGAAACCTATCCCATTTCGGGGTTTTTTCCAACTCTACCTCCTGAATTCATGCAAAATTTAAACATTATGCCAAATCCCATGGAAATAAAGGAAGCGTTATTCGACATGGCTCCACTCAAATATCCAAGAGCAGATGGATTACACACACACTTCTACCAAAAGCATTGGGACATTGTTGGCACTTCGGTTTGCTCGACCATCCAAAACATTTTCAGTGGTAATAATATTGATCCTCTACTGAAAAAAATAATTCTCGCCCTTATCCCTAAAGTCCCAAGTCCTTCAAGCTTTAAAGATTTTTGACCTATCAGCCTTTGTACGGTCTTATATAAGTTGGTCACTAAGATCATTGTCAGGCGCCTTCAACAAATTATGCCTCGACTTATCGCGCCTAACCAAACAAGCTTCATTTAAGGCCGTACCATCTCGGAGATTATTATTATTAATCAGGAGGTTATTCACTCCATGAAATCCAAGAAGGACAAGGATGGTTGGATGGCAATAAAGGTGGACTTGGAAAAAGCTTTTGATCGTATGCGCTAGTACTTCATAGCCGATACACTTTATAAAGCAGACTTTCCTCTAGCAATTACATGACTCATCTTACATTGTATTTCATCTTCTTCTATGCAGGTTCAATTTAACGGAGGCCTTAGCAATGATTTTAAACCACAATGTGGAGTTCGACAAGGAGATTCAATCTCCCCTTACCTTTTTGTTCTTACCATGGAAAGGCTTGGACATCGTATCCACCTTGCTTCTGAGGAGGGCGTTTGGAAACGATCTAAGCTAATACGTGGAGGTCTTCCTATCACTCATTTATTCTTTGCAGATGACTTAGTATTGTATGCCAAAGCAACTGCAGCACAAGCAATTCTAATTGATGATATCCTAGAGGAATTTGGTCACTACTCGGGCCACAAAGTCAACAAGCTTAAATCCCACGTGTACTTCTCGCCCAATACAAGCGTAGAAACAGCAAATGCAGTCTGTTCTCACCTCGACATCAAGCATGTTCCTAACTTGGGTGTCTATCTTGGAATGCCAGTGATGCACAAGCGTGCCACCTGCGAACTCTATAGCTTTTTTATATGGAGCTCTAGTAATCAAACTCGAGGCATTTCCCTCGTTAGCTGGGACACTTTAACTCAACCTAGGCACAATGGAGGCCTCGACGTTCGGAGGTTACAACAATAAAATTATGCCTTCCACATGAAACTTTGTTATGTAATCGCTTCGAATATGGAGAAATATTACATAAAGCTTCTTCGCCAAAAATATAAGGTGCTCTCTAATTGCCCCTTCTCCATATTCCGACCTAGTTGCTCTCATATGTGGAGATCCTTATCCAAAGTTTGGAATAGTTTCTACAACTTCTTATCGTTGTCTATAGGCGATGGAACTATAACCAGATTTTGGCATGACAATTGGCTGCTGAAACTTGGGCGTCTCTCAGAATGGAAACGAGCATATTACTGTTGAAGATAATATGCTGGTCCGTGATGTTGCCTTCCCGAACAGAAACTGGAACTGGAATCTGCTTCGACAGTCTCTCCAGCCCTCCATGATTCAGTATCTGCTGAATGTTCAACCTCCTAACTAGAATGCTGGAAATGATCGTTGTTGCTGGTCTCAAGGAAAACATGGTGAGTTCACAGTAAAATCTCCTTATGATCTTATAACCAAGGATCTTTGGGACCCCAAAGATATCAAATGGACTAAGATTTGGCGTATGACTATTCCAGAGTGTATAAAACATTTCCTATGGCTTTTATATAAAGATCGTTTGCTTACGAACGTTAATCGTTGTGCAAGGAAACTTACAGACGATCCTTTATGTCAAATATGTGGCTTAGCTAACGAAAATACACTGCATGTTCTACGTGACTGTTGGCACTCTGCAACTCTTTGGCAACTGATTATCCGGCAGCAAATCCTACCGAACTTCTTCACCACTAACGCTTCTGATTGGATCACAATGAACCTAGACTCAAATAGTCTTTTTGTAGGCACAAACAACCCATGGAAAATACTATTCTCTTCTATAGCCTGGCAGATCTGGAAGCGAAGAAATTCTTACATATTTTCATATTTGTTCATCCATAATGACCAGCTCTTCTCCCTGAGTAAAAATTGGTCCCTCTATATCATTGCAACAAATACCATCTCCCCAACAGATTCCATTGTTGCTCGTCCAGAAATTATTCAATGGAAGTCCGCGCCTACAAACTGGTACACTCTTAACACGGATGGAGTGGTACACAAAATTTTCTCTCTCGGATCGGTGGGTGGCCTCATTCGAAATATGAATTGTGACTGGATCATTGGATTTAATAAACCGGTTGGAATCTCAACTCCACTCCAAGCTGAACTTTAGGGAATTTTTGAAGGACTTCAATTGGCGTTATCCCATAATATTGAACGCCTTCAATGCCAAACAGATAGTGCCGAAGCTCTTAATCTCGTGTCTTCGCCAATGGCAAACTGCAACCCAATAGCTCTTGTTCGCTCTATTGCAAATCTCATATCAAAACAAATGGACGATTGAATTCATTCTCATTCGCCGTGAAGCCAATGATGCAGCAGACTTCCTGGCAAAATCTACCATTGTTACAAATGAACAAGCACATACATATATAGAACCCCCCAAGAGATTTCATCACTTCTTTATCGTGACCTCTATGGTCATGCTTTCCTTCGCACTTAGTATTTCATTGTAATAGTCTTCTTTATAATTAAAAAAACATAAAATTTGAGTGTAGTGAGTTTTTAGAGCACAAAGATGAATGTTTTTATGGAGACAAAATTATCATATTGTCTCTAAAATCATAAAATAACAGAGATAAATTGATTGATGAGATTTTTTTTCTTGAATTTTATTGACATATATTTATTATTGTTACAATAAATATATAATGATTTAACTTTAAAAATCAAATAATTAAAGTTTAATAATGACTTTAAAATCTTAAAATGGAAATGGTTGGGATCCCAAAATGATCCAACAGAGAAAGTAACAAGGCAGGGAGGGGTGGCAAGTAATAAGTAAGGAAAGGGACGTAGGAGCCACGGCCTTTAAGCGTCCGTCCATTCAGATCACCTTTCTAATTCTATTTAAAATCTACGTTTTAAATGCACCTTAATAAAAGTATAATACTTTGCTTGTTATATCAGATTTTGCTTCAAGTTAAACAAGAATTATTCATACATAAATGTTACACTTTTATTAATTAATTAGAATTTTAAATCAATTCCGTGTTATAAAAGGAAAATATAAATAAAATTCTTTCACATAAAGCAAGTATTTCACATCAAACCAAGTCTAGATCTTTTTGGCCTAAACTAAAATGTTTGATGGTTAAAATGTTTAAAGTAGTGTAATAGTGTTAAAGTGATAATTTAAACAAATATGAAGGATTAAATTTGACATTATGCATAAAAGAAAAAAAGAGGCAAGGCTGTTGATGTGGGGTTGTGTCCACAAAAAAAAGAAAAAATCGATAATTTAACTTCAAACGCATTTTAATAATTTATGGAGCAGAACAAGGGTCCCAATTTGCTGTTAAGAGGGGACGGTAATCGGCCGCACAACACAAAACTCTTCTTCTGGTGTGGTAGCCATTATTTTGTTTCTTTATAGATTGTCTGTTTTCCTTTCAAAGCCTATCTAATTCGATGATATAGACATCCAAAGGATTAGGTGGTTTGCCTCACAAGCTCTGGCTTTGCCTTTGCCTTTGCCTTTGGCTCTTTCTTCTTCCTTCTTTCATACACGTCTTTGCTTCTTGTATAAACTTGAAACACAACATTTATCTTCATCGAACACTTCAAAACTCTCTTCGTGCATTCAGAGAATCAAATACCAGAAGACGGTGAAGCAAGCGAAAAGATACAATTTCATCCCCAAAAGAAAATCTTTAGCAAGTAAGGATCTTTGTTTTCTGTTTTTTTTATTATTTAAAAAAGGTTTTTCTTTTAATCGGGATTTTGTTTTTGTTCATAATCAGACGTATTATATATGCTGTATATGAAAGATTGATTAGTTATGTGGATGACTTGATTCATTCTTCTTTTGGGAGAAGAACATGGTATCTGTGGTTTGGAAGGGAAAGGGGATGGACAAATCTTAGAAGAAATGTTCAATTTGGGTGATCAGCTTTTTCCCACCATTAGATCACTGACCAAGTCTCTTTTATTTTTCGAAAAGAAAAATAATTAAATGATTGTGTGGAGAATAATTCAAGCAAAACATCAACCAAAGAGAGAGACCCACTTTTGTTGGGGATCAATTACAGTACTGGAGCATGTGACTCTCTCTCCTTTTGTTTTGCTCTTTTCATCTCCTTTCACCTTTTCTGATTTATTTGCTTTTTAAAAAAGAAAATTGTGAAAACTCCCAAAGCCTCTCTCTTTGAACGTGTTTGGTCATTGTATAACAAAGTTGCCTTCCTTTTTTCTGTTTGTTATCAAGTATCTGTCCACCTATCATTTTCTTATTGGTTCAATTCAGTTTTCAGGTGCTCTTTTGTCATCCAATACTAGGATAATTTGTTTCTGTCTCAAGGAGAATTAAAATTTCCTTTCTTGGTGAATAAATAAGTAGATGGTGATATAGAAATGAGTTTCTAATTGGGGTTTAGGACTAGGTTCTGCAACTTTTCCTTATTAGTTGGAGGGGTGTGCGTAGGTTATACAAAAATACATATTATATTAGGTTCAAAATAGATTTCAAAACATAACCTTTATGGTCCCAAATCTTAATAGCCTTCAACTATTGCTGTTTGTCATTGTCTTTTGGGGATTTCTTGAACCTAATGGGCAACTGCCTTGTTGATTGATTGGTTATGGTAAGGCCAAGTGGTAAGTGGTATTTTGGGGTTGGGTTTATATATGACCATTTGTGCTCTTCTAATAGTTTCATGGTTTTTTCTGTGTTGGTGTTGAGTTTGAAAGTTACTATGTCTTAGAAGATCAAAAAAATAGTTTGTTTTTGTTTTATGCTTGTGTAGAAGAAGGTCTTAAGAGGCAATGCTTTTAATTATTATCTTAAATCAATTATGGCAGGTTCCTGTTGTATGCATGCTGTTTTGGTTTTTAGGTTTTTTAGCTCTCCTGCGCTGAACTTGCTGTAATGGTGGAGGATTCTGTCTTTACCATATGTTATTTATTTTTTATGTTTTTCCAGATATAAAGGATACTTGTTAGCTAGATGGATGGATATGCCAGTAGAAGAGCTGCTGATGGGCTTGTTGTACCAGGAAAGGGATCCGGTATCATCTTGAAGGGTTATGTTAATAACAGAGAACGAAGTGGTCAATTTTGCAACCGAATTGGATGCAGTGGCAGGCTGAATTCCGTGAAAGGTACTCCCAGCGGCTGCTCAGAAAAAGCGAAATCTTTGAGGCCTTCTTACCGCACTTCACCAAACGGCAAGGAAATAGTTGGAAGTTCCACTAGGGTGTACTCCGCAATTATCAACTCCAGAAAATCCTCTACAAATCCTCAGAAAAAGCTATCATCTCAGCTAGAGACAGATTCGTCTGAAACTAGTAGTGTTCAGGATGAGCCAGAAGTATCAGAGCTCATATCCCCACCTGGAAAGATTCAAAGAGGGTTGCATCCCAAATCTGAAGATGCTGATTCTAGGGAAGTTAGAGTGATGGAAGTTGGGAGCTCTAGTGCAGCATCAAACACAAGACCAAGGAGAAACCTTATTCAGTGTCCTGGGTTGGGAAACCAGGATACTCTTGCTGGTCCATCAGTTACTTTGGCCTCTCGAAGTGCTTTCCAGGCAACTCGTGCTAGCACAAGCAGGTATGGCTTCAGAAACATAAGATGCAACTCAATTTCTGATGTTCTTCCTTCGGGTTGTTCTTCTCCTGATTCAAGCTTCAGCAGAAGGAAAGATACAGTAAAAAAGAGAACTGCTGGTGGAGAAGGTAGTTCTTCCACCGGGGGAAAGATGTTGGGTGGATCAGCTTTGGAGGGACGGAACAACAGGTCTAGTCATGGAGTTCGTATTTCTGATTCAAGGCGAGCCAGAAATTGGCCCCCTAATAGTGATAGTAGTGTTGCTTCTTCAGTTAGGACTCGGAGACCAAGCATTAGTTATGTCAGAGGGAGACTCCCAAACCAAGAAAATGGGAATAGTTTAACTTTGAACGAGTCCCCTGTAGACATGCAGCAAGTGCCTCAAGCTGATGTAACTGTCGATTTGAGTGCTCCCATTTCCTCACAAAATAGCTTGACTTCTGCTATTTCTTACAGTCGACCTGGGAGAATAAGTGAGAGTTTACACAATATAATGCCGTCTATTCCTTCTAACGATGGCATCAACCACCCATCGGTGAACCGGGATAGCTTCCAGCGATACAATATGGATGGCATTGCAGAGGTATATTAACAGTATGGTTCCACCTGCATTTTCCTATACATGGATGTGTAACTTTACTGTTATTCATTTAACATCGTATATAACTCAGGGAAGGAACATGGTGGCTGCAAATATCTTTTACTCATTAATATCTTAAATTATCTGGTGTTAGAAGTTCTCTCCAGGGAGGGGCGATCGAGAATCATTAGTAGCTTTTTTATAGTATTCCTGTGTTAGTAAAGCTTTATATGTTATGGTGGTTTTATGTTTACACAGGTGTTATTAACACTTGAGAGGATTGAACAAGATGAAGAGTTGACATATGAGGTAACTAATTTTGAAGTGTTTCACTTGGCCTGATTGTTCTTTTTTGTTGATTCTGTTTCTTTCGTGCAGCAATTACTTGTTCTAGAGACCAGCTTGTTCCTCAATGGGCTGAACTTTTACGACCAACATAGAGACATGAGATTGGATATAGATAACATGTCATATGAGGTTTGTTTTTGTTTCACTATGGTGGTATGAAGTTTGCTTCTTATCTTCCCCACTATATGCTTGTTGTTAAAGGTAAAGTAGGTGGTTTGTGTTGGTATCATGATAGGAATTACTAGCTTTAGAAGAGAGGATGGGTAACGTGAGCTCTGCATTATCTGAAGGAGCAATGTCGAAATGCCTTAAAAAAAGCATCTATGGGGAAACATCTTTGGTGGATGCAGAAGTCAGCTGTGAGGTTGAAAAATGCAGTATATGTCAGGTACACTTGGAAACAACTTTCAGTTGGTTTATGGTATTTAGTTTCCTTAGATCATATCCAATTGTGAGTGCAATGGACTTGATTGTGCAGGAAGAGTATTTTGTTGGAGATGAAGTAGGGAGGTTGCAGTGTGAGCATAGGTATCACGTCGGGTGCATACAGCAGTGGTTGCGGGTGAAGAATTGGTGCCCCATTTGCAAAGCATCAGTAGAAGCCATGCAGTCCTCTTGTTCGCCTCATAGCTGAGTTGGAATTTGAATCGAAGAAAGCAAAAGGAAACTTGGTTTCCTTTTGTACAAATCGATGGCTCTTCTCTTCTTCAGCTATTTTTATATTTATGGTCACATGTAAATATCAAACCCAAACAAATAAAGCAGGTGCTCTTAAGTGACTGCATTGGAACACCCAATTCAGTGGTAATAGAAGAAACGTGGATCAAAATATACATTACATTGCTTTTTATATTTAGGGGATGATCTAATGTGTTCGTTGAATAAGTTTCATTACTTTTTCTTACCAATCTTGTGTCTGAAAACTAATATTCTAATATCTAGAGCAACATGGAGTGTAACGACAAGAACAGGGAAGGTTTGTTGGTAGAGAATTTGTAATATCCCAAATTTTGGTTAGTGATCAAAATGTAAAATTTGAACTTTGGTGGCTAAAGTACAAAGATTGGAAATGTTTAAGGACCAAAAAAGTAATTTTCCAAAAGTTTAGGGATTAAAATTATAATTTTTGAAAGTTATGTATTTTTTCTTGTAAATGAATAGTTCACACCCAAGAGTGATATTCCAGTAGAAATCAGATTCTTAATTTGAAAATTTTGTTAAAAGCTATAAAGTGTTAAAATCGGATAAAAAATCGATAAATTGGATCAAATAAAAATTTCGGGAAAATTTGAAGGTTATTAAATTAAGCTTAAAAATATTATTTCTATATGTTAAAATGATGAAAATAATATGAATCATTAGATTTTAGAATTTATCTCTGTGTTCATTTTGAACCTTTTGATAAAAATGTCAATATTGAAATTTTGGAAAGATTGCATAGGCAAAGTTGTAAAGGATAAGAATTTTGGTTCATCTATAACTTTATAAAGATGATAAGTGTATGTGGCTTGGTATAGATGTAAAAATAAAGATTCATTAATGACAAAATTATCATTTGTCAATTAAATGAATTTTAAATTCATTTAGGTTTAAATGCATGATAAATTAACATGGAATTAAGGAGAGATTTCATGAAAATTGAGTACTTTTCAGCCCTTTAACCGTGAGCTTCATGGAACAAGGTGAGAATTTTTATTTTGTATTTTCAAGTAATTTCCTTTGGATTTTAGATCGAGCTGTGAAATAGAAAATTGTTTTAGTCGAAAAACCTATCATTTGGTACTATTATTGCATGCTAATCTTACTTGTGTTCAAAGATCCTAAATTCTAGGGTTTATGTTCATGTTAAGGTTTTAAGAAATGATGATGAATTTTGATGTTATTGAGGTTGTAGAATCATTTACAAGCTTGATTGATGATTAAAAACATTTATACAAAGACTATTCATGCTCATGTCGATTCCGATCTAACCCTAACTTTGGGAAAATTTATGATTTGATGAAATTATGTTAGTGGTTTGATTTTAGAGGTCTTGAAACGTTGAATCGAGGTTGATTTTATGCTTGAATCAAGTGAATACCTTGAAGAGAAAATAACCTCAGTGACCAAAAATGCCTTATAATATACGATTTTAACCAACTTTTTTTGGATTTGCCAAAATGACCAACTAAATCGCAATGCGATCGATAATTCGCAACGCGATCTCCGGTATCGCAAATCAGTTTCCAGATTCACAATGCGAACTTCGACTATCGCAACGCGAACTTCGACTATCGCATTGCGATTTACATATTCGCATTGCGATAGTCCAAGTTCGCATTGCGATAGTCCAAGTTCGCGTTGCGATTTTCCAAATTCGACTATTGCAACGCGAACTTCGACTATCGCATTGCGATTTACATATTCGCATTGCGATAGTCCAAGTTCGCATTGCGATAGTCGAAGTTCGTGTTGCGATTTTTCAAATTCGACTATCGCAACGCGAACATCGACTATCGCAATGCGATTTTCCAAATTTGCATTGCGATAGCCGAAGTTCGCGTTGCGATTTATTCCAAATTCGTTGCGATAGTCCAAAATCGCAACGACGGTATTGCATTTGTTTCTTAAGAATTTTCTCTAAAAAGAAAGTATTCGCGCGGACGTGTCGAAGACACGTATTACCACGACCACGACCCGAGACGAGACGAGACGAGACGGACGGTGGCGGTGGCGGTGGCGGCGCTCGAGAGTCCCCCTTGTTCTCTATCACTCAACAAGGAAGTGGGAAAGCCAAGCCTTAAATACCATTCCCAATAGTGTTTCTAATACTATGTGGGATTGAGCATTACCAACACTTGTTTCCAATACAATGTGATTATTCAGGAAACAATTAACAATCATGCACCTTAAAACAATTGAATCAGCAACCAATTGCATTAGTATTATACGATTAAATATGTCATAATTAAAAGTCAATCGCGATTATTACAATTTTAAGCAAAACATTAAAAAATTATGAAAAGTTATGGGTTCAATGTGTAATTGTTAAATAGTTGTTGTGCTATGCTGGAAATTTATGTTAGAGTGTTGAAATTGATGTTAGAATGTGAAATTAGGTCATTTTGGAAAGTTGAGAAAAGTTGATAATAAAATCATAACTATGGAAAGGTTGAGAATTTAAATGAAAATGTTATATGAAGTTTGGATAAATTGGATAAAAAGGAGTTGAATTGGTCAGCTTGAAGTGATAAAGTCAAAATTTATGTTGTGACATGAAAATTGTATCGAATGAGCATCAAAATGTTTTTAGGAATTTATTTTCCTTTGTGGGCCTGAGATTTTAACATGTGGTTTGAAATGTATATGATTTATAATGATATTCATTTAGATTATGATTGAAGTCAAGATCAAGTAAAATTAGAGTTAAGGATGAATGTGAATTTCTAAGGAAGGTTTGCAAGCTAATGACTCCAAGTGAGTGCATATTTAATTTGTATTTATGCTATCGTACAAATATTGGCTTGCGATGAACCAATGACAGAGGTATAATGGTAAGAAGTGATCCCTAAATGTTATGTGATTTGTGGTTCAAACATGTATGTTCATTTGGTGATCTAATAGAATTAGTGAATAAGCTGAAAATGCAAGTTGGTGAAACATGCCTAGAAATTTTGTTCTGAACAGTAAGTTTAGAAAATCACCATAAATTCTACAGAAATGATTAGAGGGTGAATCTCTACCTTTGGATTTGTATGCCAATATAGTTTTGCTTAGAACAATTGCCAACTGATTTCGAGGAGTATACAAAAAAGACATGAAATTTTAATCGAGGATAGGTCAGAAAACAGGACAACAGATTCTGCTCAAAACAACTTCTGTAAGTCAACTTTGAAAATTCACTATAAATTGTAAAAATTGAATAGAAGAAGTGTCTTATATGGTTCGATTCGTATTCGAGTCTAGTTTCCAGTGATATAAACAAAATAAATTTTGAGTAAGCAGATTAATACATAATAATATTTCTTTAAAGGTAGTGCAAACTGTAAGAATACAAAATTGTGATGAACTTCTTAATAGAAGCGAATTTAAAGCAAAGGATCAAACTTAAAGCTTAGTGAGACTTATATTTTGACTTGTATAAATGTCGTAACCATCTTTTGGTTGGGCCCCGGAATTGGGCTTCGACTTGAAAAATGTGGATTGGAGTCGCCACCGACCATTTTAAAACGAATTTAGGTGGGTCGGACACCATCTTACCTGATCTGTTTTTTTACCATAAATGTGTCTGGTTCGGGAGTCGGTTAAGGAAGGATTAGCACCCTTGAACCGCCCTTTCGGTACCAATTAATTTGCCGGTTGTCTTAGTTGTGAAAATTCGAAATTTAAATTAAAATTTAACAGACCTGATTCAAATTATTTACAATTGATTGATTTGAATACCCTTAAAAGATAAAAACGTTTGACTCGTAGCGGAGTATAAATCGAATTAGGATAGCAAGTGTGCAAACGTGAGAATAATAAATAAAACAAGAAAAAATGGAAAATAACAAAACACGTAAAAAATAAATAAAAATAAACAAAATGAATAAAATGTTAAAAAACAAAGACACAGATAAAGGGAAAATATTAATGGAGTAAAAAAATGAAAAAAGGTAAATGAAATTAAAAAGGAATAAAAATAATGTGTACACATAAAATAAAAACAAATAAAAAATAAAGATATACATGATATTAAGAAAAAAAATAATAGAAAAAAATAAAATAAAGTAAAAATATAATATATATAAATAAATAAAAACAAAAATAGAATATTAAGAAAATATAAATATAAAAACGTATAAAATATAATATTAAGATAAAATATATATATACATAGTAAATGGAGAAAAATTAATACATCTATACATATATATATATATATATATATATATATAATGATATAAGATATATAAAATAAAAATATAATTAAAAATATATATATAAAGGACGAAATTAATATAAAAGTAAAATTAAAGGGTAAATTTCAAGGTAAATTAAAGATTAAGATTGACTTAGGGGGAATATTAAATACCTTAAAAAAATGAACATGCCTCGGGAGTAGATCTAGGTTCGAAACTTCGAAACCCCACCCCTTTTTGGTCATCGGCGCAACCCACGCTTTGGGTTATTCAAACCAAATCTCAAGAAAAATAACATGCACATGCGAGAAATAAACGAATCAATGTAAAAAAGATGCTACTTTTTATTTCCTTTTCGAATCGTTTACAATAGCTTTGCCTTTTTAATTTTTTAGTGTTTTCCTCTGTGTCTTGTATGTAAATCGTCTCTTACAAATGGGGAGGATTACATGTATTTATAGTGAAAAAAACTAACTATTTTTAGAATCTTATTAACAATAGAATCCTAATGCAACTAGACTCCTTGCTCGGTTGTTGCACGTTTGTTGGTGTGGTTGTTGCTTTAAAAGATATGGTGGTGGAAGAGTCCTCTTAGGAGATGAACTCTTGCTAATTCTATCTTTTAAGAAAATGGGTGTCTACAGATTCCCTTCTTTGTCCTTTTTCGTGGAACGAAAAATAGGACAAAGATAAAAAGACACAAATTTTCGTTTAGTGGTGTTGAAGAATAACTCCCTGTCGAATTGAGTTGCGGATGGCTCCTCCATCGCGAAGTCGAGTCCATCTTGAAATGATTTGAATCAGAATGTGGCTTCTCGTTGTAGTCCACTTTGGTCTTCTTCTCGGTTTAAATACCTTAGCTAAAAATTTGTCTGGAAAGTAATCCATTGACTCCACAATGTGGTTGATATGCTCTCAAGCTGAATGAAACCGAACTCGAAAAGTCTTCGTTG